AAGACGGAACTGTACAAATCCAAAGACACAAGTTGGACCTATCTGGTCCAGCACTCTAGGGACCTGACCAGGGTTTTTGCCATACCAGGGGAGGTCATTTCTGGCCCCCTTGTCACAGGCCCTACAGCCCGGTTCTGCTTCTGGCTTGGCTGCCAGCTCCCCCCTGCCATAGGCCCAGCTGGGCTCATGGCCACAGCTGGACTCCCCAGCTGCTGGCCTCTGCGCTGGCTCCTCTTCTGCTGCTGGCCCCACAGGCAGCCCACTGCCCTGCCAGGGCATGTTGGCATGCCATTTGCCCTGCTGCCAGCCCGGCTGGACTCTTGCAGCAGGGTTCCTGGTCGCCGGTCCTCCTACAGCCAGCCCGACTGGGCTCCTGGCCTCCGCAGGGCTCCTGCCACCAGCGGTCCATTGGGATTCTCTAGTCTAGGAACAAACATGGTCCTGCCAGATCTTGGATGTTGCTGGACCATAGTCGCGGTTTAGAGAAGTTCAACCTTTACTAGCAAACTCTAGTGGCTACTCTGGCTGCAAAGGTACAGAGCCACTATATCCGTTAAACAGAACACTTTGTTTCCATACAACATTGTAATGATTAGTCATCTTCCCAAAGGGAAACTATGTAAGAGTTCCTCCCCTTCCATTAATATCCATAGTGGGTGAGTCTGTTTCGTGGTGTTTAGAGGTATATTAACCCTATGCTGGCTCTCTGTAGAGGTATTTGTTGATCTTTCACAGGAAAGATAAAACACCCATAGAACTAATGGGTAATGGAATGTGTATCTATTTGCTGCAGGTTTGGACCCTATATACCACAGTTGCACAAAGCTAAGCACATGTCAGTAGGTCAGAGTTTTATTTTTGACAGAATTGTTTTTTCCTAAAAGCAGATAGAAATAAACCCAATCTCACATCTTATTAGTAATAGGGCACCCTTTGTGCTCCTAGAACACTTTCAAAGCACAAGCTGCAGGTGAGTAGCATTGGGAGGGGCAGGAGAATGATGGCAGTGGCAAGGTAAAGTCAAGCACCCCCTCCAAACTCTACATGTAGCAGGAACGCCCTTCCCCAGCTTTACTGGAGCAGAGACAATAGGCTCGGGCTTGCTATGCAGACACCACCTCTCTACAGACTAGTGAGCTTCCTTTGACATCAGGAGCTGCTGTTCTAAACTCTCCATGTGCAAAGGGGATGGAGATTTGTTCAGAGGGTGTGGCTGAACTGAGGAGGGAGAAGGACTCAAGGATTTGGGGCTCAAGATGTTGGGATGGCCAAGAGTTATGTTGCAAGGGAAGGACTGGCGGGTGTTGGGTCAAATAATAGTTTGTTTTGATTTTTAGTAGTCTTGTCTTTAAACCTATAATAAAATTAAAAAAAAAAGATTTTGCTTTTGAATCTGGTCTGGAACCCATACTGTACAGAAGGGTTTGCATGCAGGGTTTAGATTCCAAATACCTACCAGAAATTCAAATGGGATCAGATTCTGCTTTGGCCCCTGTTTAGCTGGAGTGTGACTTTGCAACTACGCTACCCATTTGAGACCATGGTGCTATGGCAGCACAATACCTTTGATAATACTGGCCTGTGAATGAGCTGACTTTAAATGGTGCATCTCTGGTAACAATACTTTTCTCTATCCTCCAAAGTAGCAAGCTTTCCCCTGCAAGTGGAATGTTTCTGTCCTTTCAAATGTAGTATTAATCATACTTTTACCTAGTAGTCCTAACTTTTGAGAGCATTTGCCACACAAATATATCTGTTCTGAGCTTTGTTCCTTAGTGCAGCTACTGTTTTCTGTTACTGAAACTCATATGTGAATTGAAGTGACTCAGCAGCCTGATTGCAGAAAGTTGACTTTTTTCTCCAAATTATTTTTCACAATAACTTATTGTGTCCCATATATACTAGGGAATGCTAAATTCACGCTGTGCCTGAAATGGACATTAAATAACAGCAACTGCCTTTCAGTGGAATCAGCCACAAGACAAAACATGGTGTGTGTATATGTATCTTTCCAGCTCATTGACTTTCATGAGTTTCATGGAATTTGGACTTATGCAGGGTCTGGTGTTGAATGTTTCCTGAGAACTTTTAGTTCAAGTGAATGTTTAGGGGAATTAAGGATGCACGACACTTTAGAGGGTCAGGCCCAAAATACCATATCTGCCTGCCATATTGATATTTCATGCAATAAAATAAGCTCCAGAAGATAGTAACATATTCTTGAAAGTATGTCACAGGGCTCTGAAAAATGTGTGTAAAAAACCCATACATCCCTCAATTTGCCTGGTTTCATGCTTTGTTACAAATTTGAACAAGCTTGCTATAAGGTATATTTAAAGCTCACAATCTGGTTGAGTAAACATAAGGTCAGTGAATGGGCCAATTTATGTTTTTGCCTTGAAGCTGTAGCCTTTAATGGAAAACTTAGCAGTTTTTTATGGGATTTGAGTTTGGGGATTTGAACAAACCCCAAACTCAAAGCAGAAATTGGGATATGAGTGGGTTGTGAAATTCAGAAACAAAAGAAAATGTTAATGGAAACCCCCTGATAACTGAAATATTTTAGTTGTATGCAGCCTTAACCATGGCATTGTTCCTTTCCGTGTTTCCACTACAATACCAAGAATTCTGGAAGTACGTTTCCCAGTAGTATTTTTGAGAATGGATCTCAGAACTATAAAACTGCTCACATAAGGTGAAATGGTGGCTTCAGATCACCATGACTTGTGACCGTCATTATGGTGGGTCCTTGTGTTTTGATGTTGGTAGTAAATATGACACTAAACCAGTTCTCCCAGACTTGATCGCTCCAAAACGTTGTCATCATTTCAAATCTAAATCCAGAATTGAGGTAAGCAAACAGCTGCTATCTTTGTAGTAGGCCACACTCGTATCCCTGCATCTGAGTGAAGTCAAGGTCTGTTTGGAATCCAGATCTAAATCCAAATTCTTGGAAGGATTTTCAAAGGCGTAAATAGGAGGTAAGCATCCAGCTTCCAATGAAAGTCAGTGTGTCTTGGGTGCCCGTCCGCTTTTTGTGCCTTGCAAATCTCCCTTCTCCCCCTATTTCTTGGGCACATCTCTAGTTTGCACAAATATTGACTGACACATAACAGTGCAAAAAGGAAATTAATTCTACCAACATATGTGCTCAGCAATTGGGGCTCCTCTCATTTTAAACATACTGGAATGAAGAGTGAAAAGTACTTTGTGCACCTTTTTAAAATGCTTTCCTCCAACACAAAATATTTCCAGTTCACACATCTCATGAAAGACATTTTTCCCCACTTGTCATTAGAGTTTGAATCTATCTAAATTAAGCTCCAAAGTGATCTGGAATGTGGATACACTTACATTAGAAACAAAAATGATGTATAAATGGTAAAACTTTAGACTAATCCTTTTTGAAAACCCAACCACCACTATTTGCTTGATTTTAAACCCCATCTTGCAGACAAGAAATAGTTTATTTTTTCTATTTTTCACTGGAAAAGGAAGATTTGTTTTCTTTTAAATATTATTTTATGTTTATATAGCCAAGCTCAGCAAAAGCTACAATCATATGAGCTTCCAAGGCAGAAATTATACAAGTCCCTTCACATATATCCTGTTTTTAATTACTCTATTCTACTTCAACAAAAGCAGGATATGAGGCAAACATATTATTTTGACAAATACCTTCATAACCGTTAACTGTTTGTGAAACACCTTCTGCTTAAGCATGTTCAGTACTGAGCCCTGCATCTAGCCCTATAGAAAAATCACAATTTTAATATTTAATATTTAAGATCTGAGAACTATTCACAAAAGCAGCCTATTCCACATTTTTTTTCTTGAATTTCACATTCTTTCCTGCAGCATGGCATGCAGCACGGTGAGGTATAGTCCTCCCTGACTATAATTCCAACAGACACAAAGATGCATTGATTCCACTCTTATTCATAAACATTTGTGTCTTTGCAAGTTGCATGGAAAAATACAACTGAGGGACCTGCTACTATAACTATAAACATTATAGTTATAACAACATAAAAGCTCTGTCAGCGGTTTTCCTGTTTCAAGGCCCTCTCCATAAAGTAACTTACCAAAAAACTAGTAAGTTTGGAGAGCTGAGAGCCAGAAGCTTCTACTTCCAGACCAACAGATGATTGTAGGGATTAGGTATAATTAAATGGAACTTAGAACATCAAGGGTAACATTTTCAGAAGCACCTGAGTCCCATTTTTAAAAGTTGCCCAGGAACTTAGGCCCCAAAATCTCATTGAAAGTCAATGGGGACTTAGATTCCTATTTGCCTGAGACCCTTTTGAAGCTTTAAATCACTTAAGTAATTTAAAGTGCCTTGTCTTTACACATATGTAGTTCCAGCTATGTGAAATCTGCATAGAGTTGCCTTTTGAACATGAGAGCTCTAACTTTTTGGTTCTTAGCTCCAATAGCAGTAATATTCCTTTCACAATTTTAAGTAGGAAAGAATACCCAAGGAACTCTGCAACCTTGAGCCAATGTATTTATGTCTGAAGGAAGCCAGATATAACATAGCATACATTTTTTCCAATGACAAACTAGTAAGCCTATTACTGTCTGCACTGCAGCTGAAAGGTCCCCAGATACATTTTGTAGTATTGATTCTGTTATTATGTCTCCTTGTAAAAGCCCAGTGACAGCATATCCTGGTATCTCAGCTTGCATCATGAACCACAGGTATAAAAAAGATATATTTCTTCAAGTCTAAATACTCCTTACAGTGTGAGAGTATTTTTCTGTAGCCTCAGAGAACCTGATTTTAATTTCATGCCAGTGTAAACTAATAGTATCTCCACTGATGCCAATAGAATTATGCCCAAGTTACAGCAGGATCACCTTAGAGGATGCTGCAAAGATATCTAATGACAGAATATTAAGTAAATAGTCCATCTCAGAACTTTAAACAGAAATCAAAGCAATAAAAGCCCTTAAAATTTACTTGAAAAGAGAAAGAGTACTCCACTGTCCCTTACCTGTTACACAAGAGGCGGTGAAGCTTTACTTTTATCCAAAGTTAGACAAACTAAATCAAAAGTATCCAGAAATCTACACAGCACTACTCAGAGTGAAGAACAAGTAACAAAAAAATCAGTTTTCATTGTCATTAAGCAATTCTGGGAGTGTTCAGCTTTCCAATCTCCAAGGTTCCCCAGCTGGGAGTCAGCCTTTTCCCATCCTGCATGCCAGCATCCTGTTATTGTTCCAAACCTTAGTAATGCCAATGACAGAAAAGAGTGGAGGAAACCAGATAAACTTAGGCTTATTATTACTATGCTTACCTTTTCAGAGGGACAACAAATAAGTATCTGAATAAAGGGAAATGGACTCTACCAGAAATACAAACCAGTGCTGGTGCTTAATATGTTTAGTACTACACAGTTTAAAACAATCCCAGAATGAATACTTAGTATGGTTTATTTTCAAATGTTTTGTGTTCAAATGGAACAAGATTCTTCAATATTTTAGTAAGTCAAAGCCATCAGGATTTGTACACCAGAAACAATGATGAATGAAGTGCTCATCAGTCAGTTGGGAGTTCCCATAAACTTCCACTACTTCCCTTGGTGCAGAATTGATGAGTTTGCTAGTGGCATGAAAAAATATTTAGTAGATTGGTGTATACTGAAATTTTGGAAAATAAACATGAGTCAAATTCTGCTCTTGACAACAGCAGTATAGATTTGAAGCAACTGTGGTTCACACCGGTATGTTTGAGAGCACAATTTGGTTGCATGTCTTCAATTTAGGGCATGATTCTCCTCTGCCTTGCACTTTGTATATTCATTTCCACCTGTACAGGAAGGACACAGAAATGCTGCTGTTCGGATTTAGTTGCAAAGCACTAAAGAGACCTCAAAATTTAAGAAAAAAACTCTAATGGGAAAACTTTTGAATTAAATTGTTGCATTGCAATTTTTAAAGCTGATGAATATTTAGGGAGAGGGAAGGGGGAAAGTTAAACATTCCAAGTTGAGTGGTTGCAATTATGCTTGTGGACCTGATTTATTCTTCTGTTGCAGTCCAATGGGAGTTTCCCAGGTTTAGACAACAGTGAGTTTAATGGGCATTGCACCCATGAAAGTTATGGTAGTTCAGTGTGAGAAGCAGATGGGTCTTCATAGAGCTCACATAGGCCTCGTCTACACTAACCCCCACTGTCGATCTAATCTACGTGAATTCAGCTATGCAAATAGCATAGCTAAAGTCAACATACTTACCACAGTGTCTTGTGTGCAGTAAGGTCAGCAGGGGCTACTCTGCCATTGACACCAACTACTCTTCTCATCCTGGTGGAGTATTGGCATCGACTGGGGAGCACTCGGAGATCAATTTATTTAACCAGACACAATAAATTAACAGCCAGTAAATCAATTGCTGTAGTGTCGATGCCCAGCGTAGTGGATACAAGTCCATAGAATATTTGTGCTCTGTTCTGGGACAGCAACATATACTTTAATTTCTCCTCCTACCCTAAATGCAAAGAAGAAAATGTAGACCCGCTATTTCTTTTACCCTGCAAGCCAGAGAGGAATTACTTTATTAAATAATTCAGGAGCAACTCTGAGAAGCATGAGATTAAAAAAGAGACCAATGTCTGAGGTCTTACAGGTATGTTATAATAAATGTAGCCAAATGTGCAACATATTTTATAGAAGACTTTAAATAATAACATCCTGCAGTGAAATACTCGCTTGCCCCTATGCTTCATCACAATTTAGCAAAGGTAATGGGATTGATTTTTCCAGTTTTCTAGAAGACTGGTCTTTGGTTACATTATTTCACATTTTTATGACATGCAGTGGCAAAGATGAATAGCTCTTTTAAAATTTTGATACATTAATTATTCAGGAAGGTTAAGCACCTAATGAGCGGATATTTTTCAAAGTCTTCTTTAAGGAGACTGATTATAATTAGGTTTCCTCATAAGAAAATAAGCAGTTTCTATTTCACTGCTGAGTGAAGAGGAGAAGGAGAGATGGGGAGGATGTTAACTGCAGTTCACTGGAAAACAGTCATCTGCAGATGATGCAATAGACTGTGGTACCCAGAGCAGATGACAGTTGTAGCTAGTGTTTATATTTGCAAATAACTCTATTTTTTGGATTGACAGAATGATCTTTGTTTAACAAAGGATGGTTGCTTAAAACATAATAATGTCGTCTTTACAGGTAATTTCTAGTCCAAGTTTTGCCAAATCCATATAGTCATAATCAACTTCTGTCTCACTTAAGGCCTTTATTCAGAGTCTACAGAAGTCAATGGGAATATTTCCTTTGCCTATAGTGGGCATTGGAGGAGTCCCATAGTGACAATTTGGCCACATCTCAGAGAAGCTATTTTAGCTGCCCTTTCTTCCCATATGTATGCAGGGACTACAAACCAATATTTTCGGATCCTATAGAAATTAATGGAGAATTGTCTGCCTCAGCATTCTGAAGGATAGTGGGAAAAATCAAAACCAAGTAACACTATTTTTCTATTAGCATTTAGAGTCTAAAAACCTTATTAAATTTCCACTGACCCTTTTCTCACTCTATAGATTTTATCTCTATGGAACCCTATAGGATTTAAAACATTATTATGAGGTAATTTGAGCTTGGATATTTTAGGATAAACTATCTTTGGATACTTAACCAAAAACAGACAATCTCCTAAACTTTCAGGAACTTAGTCTTTCTCACAGTTGTGCTTTCTGGGCAATAAACTCCAGAGGCATCTAATTAAAGTGGATTTTCAGGGGTGTTGAACACTTGGGCTACGTCTACACTGGCCCCTTTTCCGGAAGGGGCATGTAAATTTCACCAGTCGTCGTAGGGAAATCCGCGGGGGATTTGAATAGGAATAGGGGGAAGTAGGAATAAGAGCCTCCGGAAAAGGGCGCTTTTTCCGGAGGATCGGGGCCAGTGTAGACGCTCTTTTCCGGCTTTTTTAAAAGCCGGAAAAAAGCGGCGGACATTTTTATTTAAATGCCGCGGGGGATATTTAAATCCCCCGCGGATTTCCCTACGACGACTGGTGAAATTTACATGCCCCTTCCGGAAAAGGGGCCAGTGTAGACGTAGCCGTGCAGCTCAAGACTACAGTCACGGATGCTCAGAATAAGATCCCTGTTCCCAGACCTGCTGGAATGATGATTTTCCTTTAGATGTTTTCCTCCCAAACTCTTCTATAGGTATGCAAGGAAAGTCTATGAATCTATGGGGAAATGCCCTGCTTACTCATTAATGTAATTGTATACAAATCTAAGAGGTACTGTGGTTTTGTCCAAACGCATTGGTAGAATCATAGAACCATAGGCATGGAAGGGACCACAAGGGTCATCTAGTTTAGTGCCCTGCCAAGATACTGCTTTATTGCATCTGAACCATGCCAGACAGATGGTTATCCATTCGCCTTTGGAAAAACTCCCCTCAAGGGGCTTCCACGACTTCCACGGGCAGTTTGTTCCATTGGCCTACTGTTCTTAACAGTGAGGAAGCTTTCCCTGAGATTTAATGTAAATCTGCTCTGCTGTAGTTTGAATCCATTGCCTCTTGTCTTGCCCTCTTTGGCCAGAGCAAACAACTTTCCTTCATCTTTTTTTTTTTTTTTTTATGGCAGCCTTTCAAGTATATGAAACACTGCTATCATGACCCCACCAATCTCCTCTTTCCCAAACTAAACATACCCAGCTCCTTCTGTCTTTGCTCACTTCCATCCCTTTGATCAGCTTTATTGCTCTCCTCTGGATACTTTCCAGTTTCTCTACATCCTTTCCAGACAGCTGTGACCAACACTGGAAACTCCAGCTGAGGCCTCATTAGCATCTCATGTATCCTATCACCCATGAGAGGTGGGTAATGAAGGCAAGAGAAGGAATGTCCTACCCAAACTGACACAGGTAACTCCACCCATGCTCCACCCCAGGTTAGGACCCTTCCTTACCTGAATGCTGCAACCTGCTCTTTGCCCAGTGCTGGGGCTGGTGGCTAGAAGGAAGCGGGACACCTGGGTGTCGGGTCTGACAGTGTAGCCCATGCTTCCTGTCTGCCTGGTGCTCTGGCACTGGGAAGGCTGATGCAGCCAGGCAGCTACACAGCTAGTAGCTCTGGGGCCAGAAAGGCTGGGTGTATGGCTACCCTGAGCTGGGAAGACTGGGGCTGTGTGGCAGCCTGGCCACCTGGCCACCCAGTGCTCTGGGTCCTGGAAGGTAGGCACTGTGCATCTGCCTGGTGCCTCAGGGTTGGGAAGACTGGGACACCTGGAGCTTTGGGGTCAGATAGGCTGGGAGTACAGAGAAAGGGCCAGCAGCTACAATGCCCAGCAACCTGGCACTTCATGCCACCCACCTTGGTAGCCAGCGAGCAGCCACAATGGAGAACTTGGGGAGCATGGGGCAAGGGCCAGTGGCTGTAGTGGGGGCTGTGTGGGCTCTAGCGGGCATGGAAGGGGCTGGGCTTGCCTCTCCAAGCCAGCTGTTCACCCACCATCCATGCTATCACCTTCTGTGATTTACATGATTTGCCTCTGTTAATGCAATCCAAAATTGCATATGGTTGGTATGCTTTTACTGAGGTACCAAACTTTAAGCAGACAAGTTCAAAACTGTAGACCTCTGTGTTTAAACAGAAAAACTTTCTAGAAGTGGATGGGGATGTGTAGACAGTGCATGGAATCCTCAGTGAGTAATGTGATCCATTCAGAGTGGAGGAGAATTAGAAGATGGAAGGGCTCAGAGGACTCAGACTTTGTGCCAATAAAAGATGCTGAACTAGTCACTAAGGACCCATGGCAGTTGTCTGCAACTGTAAATCTCTTCTACCTGAAGGAGCATTCAGCCTTTTCCACTGATGACATATCTCTTCAACATTTGTTCCACAACACATTTTTCAGTTAACTGGAGCCAGTTTTTTCACCCTGACAGCTTTGCTCCCTTCCTAGTCTTTGCCCCTTGGATGTTCAGCAGCTGCTCTGCATGCTGTTTTTGTGTTAGTTTAGTGCCATCTGGTTGAGAGCAGCACCTCCTTCTATCACGAGCTAAGGTTTCAGACTCATCCTTGTGTTAGATGCTGACATATATGCAGACAATCTGAATTCTTTACTTTTGTAAAGTAAACAGTCTTTTTACTGGACTGGAAAAATTTCCAGTTTTATTGTTGAGAGCTGTTTGTCTTATCCAGCACTGTTTAAACTTGGCATTTGCATAATGCCTAATA